AATAAATTAATCTTAGTTGCTTAATAAGGGTTGAACTGATTGAAGGTAAGAGTGAATGAAATATCTCTTTGGATGCCCTGTGTTTAGTGCAGGGCCTGGCACACAGCAGGTGCTTAAATGCTAGTTGACTGACTGAAATGGAAAGCTTCTTAAGAACTCTGCCCTGGTATATCAGGCTGCTGTTTTTTTAAATACAAAATCTTTGGACTAATTCCCACAAGTGCTGAGAGCTTTGGTATTAAAGGTAAGGCTGATAAAGTGAGAAAAGAGAAGATTTGAGATTGAAGGTGAAAACAGATTTGCTCTGAATCTGAATAATACCCAAGAGCTTCCAGAATCTTCATCCTGTGTCTTTAAAGCCAAATTTTTGTTGGGGGTGAGGGTGGGGGGAGGAGAAGAATATTTATAGTGCAAGGAGGGAGGGCTCCTTTGTGCTTCTGAGGCCTCTCTGATCATCTGATCATGCTCTGATCATAACTGATCATCTCAGAGGTTTCTGGCCTCTTCAGTTATGCTGTTAAATAAATAGCATAGTGCTCCAGGAAGCAGCTCAAGGGAGAGGCAAGGGAGGTGCTCACAGTAGAAAGAGCTCAGTTTTGAAGTCAGAGAACTCAAATTGTAATTCTGTCTCTGGTGCTCTGTAGGAAGCAGTTTGGTGCAGTGGCTAGAAGCTACCAACCTACCTGGAGTCAAAGACCAGGATTCTATTCCTACCTCCAAACTTGCTGCCTATGCGACCTTGGGAAAATGACTTGGCCTTCCTAGGCCATTGTTTCTTCATCTGTGGGATAGATAATAGTATTATAGATTTAGCCACAGAGGGTATCTAGTGACTTAACCTTAATTTGGAGATAGTGTAGTCATGTTATGTTCTGAATATGAAATCAGAAGACTTGGCTCTGCCACTAATTACCTGCATGACTGTAGGCAAGTCACTTTCCTTTCACAGCCTCAATTATCCCATCAGTAAAATGGGGATGATAATAATACCTACACCTAGCTACTTCACAGGGTTGACCTTAAGAAAGCATTGTATAACCTAGACCCCTGTGAATTAACATATATATATATATTTTTAAATGATTGCTTTAACTTGGCTCCTTTCTACTATCACTCTTCCTCACCCCAGTCCCATTTTGTGATGCCATCTCTGTGTTAAGGGGACCTTATGGCTAAGGTGTCTCAGTGAGGGAACTTCTTCTTTCAACTAAGATCAATACTTAGCCTTCACCCTATCATCTCACAGAGTGGCCTAGGGCCCTGGGTGAGTAGCTTACCCAAGATCTCACTAGCCATACTACTACTACTTTTCTTCTTCTTCTTCTTCTTCTTCTTCTTCTTCTTCTTCTTCTTCTTCTTCTTCTTCTTCTTCTTTCTTCTTCTTCTTCTTCTTCTTCTTCTTCTTTCTTTCTTCTTCTTTTCTTCTTCTTCTTCTTTCTTCTTCTTCTTCTTCTTCTTCTTCTTCTTCTTCTTCTTTCTTCTTCTTCTCTCTTCTTCTTCTTCTTCTCTTCTTCTTCTTCTTCTTCTTCTTTCTTCTTCTTCTTCTTCTTCTTCTTCTTCTTCTTCTTCTTCTTCTTCTTCTTCTTCTTCTTTTTCTTCTTCTTCTTCTCCTCCTCCTTCCTCTAGCCCATTAGCATTTAAAATTTGATATAGAGCAAACAAAAGATAACATAGAAGGTAACAGTGCTCTCTGCAGCCAGAGGTGGTGTTACAGAGTGTAGGGAGAATTTTTTTTTACCCCATTTGCTTCTATCTTCACAAGCACTCATCTGGCCTCTGCTTGGAGACCCCTAGGGAGAAAAAACCTTTTGAAGTAGCCCATTCCACTTTTGGATAGCTCTGATTGCTAGAATACTTTTTCTTTTGTATAGCTTGAAACCCGCTTCTTCAAATACTTGGAAATAGTTATCATGGCCCTCATAAAGCTTCTCTTTTTGATACTCAGTATTTGTTGTTCCTTCAACCAAACTTTGTATGGCTTGGTGTCTAGTGACTTCGCTATGCAGGTTGTTCTATGGATGTGTTCTCACTTGTTCAAGTCCTTCCTAAAATGTGGCACCAAACACAGTGCTTCAGATGCAATATGATACAATGGAGGCATGTCTTATGGTGGAAAAAGCCCTGGCTCTGGTGGCATAAGGTTAAAATCCTGCCTCGCCCTGGCTACCTGTGTCACTTTGGACAATTCATTCAACCTCTCTGGGAGGGCCTTGGTTATCTCACCTATAAAATGAGGTACTTGAATTGCTTGGTCTCTGAGGCCTGTTCCAGCTCTAAATCTCTGAGTCCAACAGAACTTTTATATTCTGGATAGTATGTTTCTCTTAAAGAAGACAATTAATAAATATTTGTTCATTGATTACCATTTCATTGGTCACACCATTGACTCATATTAAGATGTCAGCCTGCTAAACCTTCAGATCTTTTCCAAACAAACCATTATGCAGTTTGCTTGAACTAAATCCTATGCTTTCCATATCTTGTAACTATAAAGTTGGTTTTTTGAACCCAAATGCTAGGACTATCACTATTAGAATTTGTCTTGATCATTTCAGCCCAGGCTGATCTTGATCTTTTTTGGATCCTGACTCTGTCAGCTAACATGCTAGCTAATTCTCCCACCTTCCTATCATCTGCAAATTTGATCAGTCTTACAGCTATGTCTTCCTTCATCTAAGAGTTATTGGTTAAAATTTAGATAGCTCAGTACCAAGGACAGATCCCTCAATTGTTCCACTAGGAACCCCCCCTCTGCTTTGGCATCAACTCAATAGTCATTATTCTGTGGTTCTGGTTCCAATTCATCCATTTTATTTTCCAATCCACATCTCTCCATCTTATCCTCAAGGATTGTACGATAGAGTTTGTGAAAAATTTTGCTGAAATCTAGCTGCCCTACAGCATTAATCTACCATCTTGTAACTTTGTCAAAAAAGGAAATGAAGTTAGTTTCACATGATCTATTCTTGATTAAGCCATTCTTGCCTCTTGTGATCACCATTTCCCCTTTTAAATGCTCACAAACCATCATAAACCATTGCCACGAATGGAAGTCGTGTTGACTGGCATATTGTTTGCAGACCTTCCTCTGTATGATTTTCTCCCTTTTTTGAAATAATCAATACATTTGCCCTCCTCAGGTCCTATGGTACTTTTTTCCTTCTTCATAGTCTTTCATAAATCAGCAGCAGCAGCTCAGCAATCACATGTGTCAAGCCACTCAGTACTCAGGGATGTGGTTCACCTGAATTCAACAAAAACACCAAGCTATTCTCCTCCCAGCTCCTGACTTCTCTTGGTTTTCCATTGTCTATTAACCATTTTTGTTCAGTGCTGACAAAACAGAAGTAAAATTAGGGTTGCATAGTTTGGGTTTCCCTCTGAGGTGTGTTATCATTGTCTCACCAGTGGGTATGCTGATAAATGTTTAACAACTGGGGTGGGTGGTGGAGGTGGGTGGAAGCATTTTAAAGCTTAATCTGCATTTTTAACATTTTCTCCACCATTTTCTTTAGCTTAGGCAATCAACAAGACAATAACCACCCTCTGATTTGTAGCATTTGCTGATTTCTAAGGTGTAAAAGTTCACACTGAAAATTTAACATTTAGCTCTAGAGAGCTGCTTCCAGCTGGTTCTAGCACTGCCCTGGTTTCATCCACCCTAAAGAGGGATACCATCCCTTCTTTCATTTTCCTTTTCCCTCCAACGTAGCTCAAAAATCCTTTCAAAAATTTTCCATAGCATTTATCACCAGTTTCAGCTCACTCTGAGCTTTAGTGTGTTCTAACATTACACCCAGGTCTTGATTCATGCAAATAATGAATCCCCCGAATTCATTATTTGAATTCACATACCAGTTGCCATAGTTTATATAATTATAACTTTGAATAGTGCTAATTTGAATAACATTCACTGTCAGAGGATTTATTATTCGTACTAATTGGTACCTGGCTGCATTCTCAACAGGACTATGCTATGATTTGGTATTCATAGTCCATTATCTGTCCTTGCTTTCTTTCCTCTATTAAGAATTCAGAGATGGCATGGTCATATCATCCCAAAGTTCCCATCATTTCTATTTTAGCAACTAGTTCTCTCCGTGTATATAAAAATCAGGCACCAAATAATAGAGCTCCTTGTCACTTTCTCTATTTTTTGCAGAATTACATTATCATCAAGGTAGATCAAGAATAGAATTCATTATCAGGAGAGAGAGAGAGAGAGAGAGAGAGAGAGAGAGAGAGAGAGAGAGAGAGAGAGAGAGAGAGAGAGAAGAGAAGAGAAGAGAAGAGAAGAAGAGAAGAGAAGAGAAGAGAAGAGAAGAGAAGAGAAGAAGAGAAGAAAAGACAGTGAGAAAGAGGGAGGAAGGGAGAGACAGAAGAGTGAGAGAAGAGATGAGAGACAGAGGTAAGAGAGAGGGAGAAAGAGAGAAAGGAGAGAAGAGACAGAGAGAGAAGAGAGAGAAAGAAAGAGAGGGCAAGAAAAGAAAAAGAAAGGGGGAGGGAGGGAGAGAGAGAGAGAGAGAGAGAGAGAGAGAGAGAGAGAGAGAGAGAGAGAGAGAGAGAGAGAGAGAGAGAGAGAGAGAGAGAGAAATAGAAAGGGAGAATCTCTTTGTAAAAAAAGAAAGGGAGAATCTGTTTGCAATAGATAAAACTCATTCCCTGTCACATAGTAAGTGCTTTAAAAATGCATATTGATGACTTCCTTTTCCATAAAGTATAGTCTTCTAGGGCCATTTTCCAATCATGAGTCCCAGCATAACAAATCCCAGCAATATTTCATCGTTGCATTAAAATCTCTTCCCATTGTTTCTTATTCCTACTTTATCCATTTTGTATAGACATTTGAGGTCATGGGCGTTATTTTTGGCTTCCTAAGTATTGTTTCCTGTGAACTGGTTTCCTTCACTGCTATTTTTCTCCATATATTGTGTCTACTACTTTCCATGGTATTGTAGATTTGATGTATATGTTTCTTCTTCCTCTCTTCCCCCTTTCAGCTAAAAGCCTTTGATCATACTTGAAAGACTTTGTGAAAACTTATGGAAGGTATGTGTTGCCTATATAAGTTATATGTGTCTACAAGGGCTGTCCTAATGTGACTTAGAGAGAGACATGAATGGATTATCCCCAGGATCTTTCCCACCCTTTCTGAGGGAGACTTTGGTCCCTACCTGGAGCGGAGCCAGAGGAGGGGTCACAAAGTTGGCTGTTCTGCTCCCCTAAGGAAGAGTAGACTAGAATTACAACTATCTTTACTTCTCTTAAATATTACTCATTTAAGGGAAATGAATTTTGGGTTCCAGCTGCTTTTTTCATCACAATCTCTTAAAAAGGAAGGTGTGCAACTTGAAGGTGTGGTTCTTTCCCACCAAATGCTAGTTATATGAAAGACCATCACAGATAGTGAATAGTAATTAATTTATCCAAGCAGATAGAAAACAAAACTCAGAGAAGTCATACAAATTAAAATATTCCAAATGATACACAGAGTGAGTGAATTCCCCCACTTAGAGTAAGGTAGGTGTGTGTGTGTGTGTGTGTGTGTGTGTGTGTGTGTGTGTGTATGTGTGTGTGTGTGAGAGAGAGGGAGAGAGAGAGAGAGAGAGAGAGAGAGAGAGAGAGAGAGAGAGAGAGAGAAGGAGAGAATCAGAGAGTCCTCAATTTCACCAAAGGAAATGTCCTAAAGTTCCTAGGGAGATAAGGACATGTTGGAGTATGGTGCTACATGTCTGTAATCTAAAATCTGTTCTGTTTTACTCAAGATTTCTTCCTGAAGAAGGCCAGGGACCACATGCATCCTCCCTCAAAGCAGAAATGAAGTAAACGTTCTCTCTTGTCCCAAGTTCTCAGGCCAATGTCACCCTTATGGAGACATTCAGTGTTGAATCCTTTCCACCAGTGAGGAGAGTCTTATGCAATGACCCAGGCTTGAACCCCAGGTTTTACATATTTCTTATTGGACCTTCATTAGGTGTACTCTGCTCTTGGCCAAGATTTTCCTTAAAGAAGGTCTGGAACCACATGCATCCTCCCTCAAAGCAGGAAGTAAAAGGTGGGAGAATGATTTTTTTTCAGCTATGGTTCAAAAATTTCCATCTTTTTCTTAGACCCCATCTTCTTAGCAGAAGTTCACTGCACCAGTCTTCCTCTCTATGTGGAAACCTCTCCACCTATGTTCAGCAGCAGCTATGAGAATGCCATTAAGGTCTTCAGTTTCTTGCCCAGAGTTTCATAACCCCTAGCAGGGCTCTCTGGCCACCCACTCTATATTCATGGGAGTCATAATGACTTTTGCCAACATGCCCCAGGAGGACATCCAACCTACCTATTGTTTATGTGAGCTTTGCAAAGGGCCTCTTCCAGAGCCCTCAGGAGGAAGTAACAGTTACTTCTGCTTGTCTCTTCTTCTCTTCCAGTGACACCTGTGGACGTCATCATTCCGCAGAGAAGTTCCTTCCTCCTAAGAGGGTCCAGCTTCCCCTCCAGGGGAGGAAACACGTCAGTCACTTAACTTAGAATGGTAAGATCTAAGATCACTTGGAGTAAGAAGGGTTCTTAGCCATTTTTGTGTCCTGGATCTAATGTTGTTCCAGTAAAGGTTTAATGTTCTGCTCTCTTGGGTGGGGTGTGTGTGTGTGTGTGTGGGGAAGGATGCATGACATACTTTTCAGATGAATTTGCATAATTAACATTTTCTCTATAACTTTCTTAAGTATAGAATAGAAGATCAGTAACAAAGTAAATTGATACCTGATTTGACACCCTGATTGTAAATACTCACTCTGAAAATTTAACACTCAGCTCTTGTGATTGGTTCCAGCTGTCTCCAGTACACACGCCTGGACCCCTTTGGCCTGGTAAAGCCTATGGACCTTCTTTCAGATTAATGTTTTTTTTTTAAATAGTTTTGTTAAAGCTGATTTAATTATTTAATTATTATTTAATTAATTTATTATTTTTGTTATTTATGCATTCATATTATGTATAACATTATATAAATAATATGACAATATGTAATGTGCTACATAATATATTATTATTTCATTAATAAATATTATTTAAAGTTTAAATGTTTTGTTTCATATTACAAACATTGACATGTTTGTACCCTTACCGCATTTGTTCTCTTGTAACAAAGTAAGACAATTAAGCCAAACTTGAAATACTGTGACCTCATCTGAAAATGAATGTAACATGCCACATCTGTAGTATTCTCCCATCTCTTTATTTTTTAAAAAATTATTTTAACAGAAACCTACTTTCTCTCCCTCTCATCCCCTCAACCTAGTGTAAAAAAAAGAAACAAATTCCATGTAATAAATATGCATAATCCAGCAAAACAGACTCTCTCATTAGCTGCATACAAATGTGGACTATATATGTATATTTTTGTGTACATACATATAAAATTTTGCACCCTAAATCTATCTCTCTCTGTCAGAATATAAGTTGTATGTTTCATCGTGGATGGAATCATGGACAGCCATTGCATCACTCCCAGTTCTTAAAGCTTCCAAAGTTGCTTGTCTTTATAATATCGCTGTTACAGAACTTGTTCCCTTGGTATTCATTTCCTTCTTCACCAGTTTATAAAAGTCTTTAAAAACTATTTTTGTAATAATGATGTTATGGTATAAATTGTTCTGTTTATGCTTCTTCTACTCTGATCCTATTTATACAGATCTTTCCATGTCTCTTTGCAATAATGTATTGCCACATTTCTTTCAGCACAATAGTATCCCATCTCATTCCTATACCACCATCTTTGATTAATAGATATCCCTTTAACTTCCAGAGTTTTGTTTTATTTTGTTTTTGCTGCGGCAAAAGGAACTGCTATAAATATTTCTGTAAATATAGGATCTTTCCTCCATTTCTTTGATCTTTTTCTGGGATAGGCCTAATATAGCTGGTTCAAAGGGCATTCATTGTTTATAAATTTTTTATATATAATTCCTAACTCCTTTCCAGAATGGAAAGCCATTCAAAGCTTTACCAAGAGTTTGTATTCATGTGCCTATTTTCTCACAGTGCCTCCAACATTTTTCACTTTCCTTTTTTGTCATCTTTGCTACTCTGAGAGGTGTGAAATGGAATTTCAGAATTGCTTTAATTTGCATTTCTCTAATTAGCAGTGATCTGAGCATTTTTTCCTCTCCCATATTGCTATAGATAGCCTGGGTTTCTTCCCTTAAGAACTGTCTGTTCTCTCATTTATCAAATGGGGAATAGCTCTTACTCTTACAAATTTAAATTAGTTCTTCATATATATTGGAAAGGAGACCTTTATCAGAGAAACTCTCTATAAAGCTTCCCCCCCCAGTTCATTTTTAAACTACTAAAGCATTATTTTATAGAACAAAAAAGGGTAAATTTTTTTTTTAAAAGGCAAAGTATCTCAAGGGAAATAATAAAAAGAAGTGGAAATAATGGGGACTTGGTAGTGCCAGATCTTGAACTATATCCTGAAGCAGTAATTAAGTGGCAACAAGATGGCGCAATGGATAGAGTGCCAGGCCAAGAGGCAGCAAGACCCAAGTTCAAATCTGGCCTCAGACAATTACTAGCTGTGTGACCCGGACAAGACACCACTGTTTGCCTCATTCTCCTCATCTGTAAAATGGGGATAATGGTAGCTCTTACCTGCAGGGTTGTTGCGAGGATTACATGGATAATAATTGCAAAGCACTTAGTACAGTGCCTGGCACGGAGTAAGTGCTAGATAAACGTTAGCTGTTATTATTATTATTGTTTCACAAAACAATTTGACACTGTTTTAAAAATAGAGAGATCAATGAGTGGAATAAATTAGCTAACTGACATTCAGAAACAAATGTATTTGGTGCGTAGTATTTGATAAACACTGTGAACCTAGCTAGATAAGCATTTGTTATTTGACAAAAACTGTTGGGAAATTGAACAGAAGTATGGAAAAAGTTAGGTTTAGACCAACATCTTATACTTTATATCAAGATAAGCTCCAAATACATAGATGGTGTAAATATAAAAGGTCACATGCTAAACAAATTTAAGAAATGTGGACAAAGTTACCTTTCAGGTATTCAGAACAGAAGAAAAGTGTATGAACAAACAAGATGGAGACGATCATAGATGGGAAGGTGGATAACTTTGATTACAAAAAATTAGAGTTTTTGCACAAATAAATCCAATGAAGCTAAAATTAAAAGAGTGTTTTTAAATTTAGAAATAAAATATGCAGGGTTACAAAAATAATCTTGAAATACAGCTATCTGTATCTCTCTCTCTCTCTCTGGCTGCCTGGCTCTTTCTCCAGCTTAAAAACCTCTCATTCTAGATCTATCTCCTCATTTGTAAAGTGAAGAAAAAGGAGGCTCTGAGAGTGACAGAGACTTGCTCGAGGTGGCCAAGCAGGAAATGGAAGCCAGGTTTTCTGCCTCCCAATCCAGGGCTCTTCCCATGATACTATGCCTCTTCCCTTCAGCTTGTATTATATTTGGGTTACTTTCCAACCTCCTGACCCAGGTCAAGAATTCCTTTTTGTTTTTAGAAAAAAAATTTTGGTAAATATTTTATTTTTTCCTATTACATGTAAAGATAATTTTCAACATTCTTTTTTTTTTTATAAGCTTTTGAGTTCTAATTTTTTCTCTCTCCTTCCCTCCCTTCCTTCCCCCTTCCTAAGATGGCAAGCAATCTGATACAGGTTATCCATGTGTAAGCATGTTAAACATACTTCCACATTAGTCATGTTGTGAATAAAGAAACAAAGCAAAAGGCAAAAACCATGAAAAACAGAGAGCCCCCCCCCAAAAAAAGTTAAAATAATATGCTTCCATCTGCATTCAGATGCCATAGTTCTTTCTCTGAATGTGGATAGCATTTTTCATCATGAGTCTTTGGAAATTGTCAAGATTCCCTTTTGCTCCCTCAGATCCCTTTTCTTCATTATTTTTCTCCTTGAAGCACTTCTGGTGACTTTGCTTTCCCTAATATAAAGGAAGGGCAGTCAGGAAGATAGAGCTCCAGGCCTGGAGTCAGGAAGACTCATTTTCCTAAGTTCAAATCTGGCCTCAGACACTGGCTAGCTATTTGACCTTGGGCAAGTCACTTAACCCTGTTTGCTTCACTTTCCTCATCTGTAAAATGAGCTGGAGAAGGAAATGGCAAACTACTCCAATATCTCTGCCAAGAAAACCCCAAATAGGGTCATGAAGAGTCACACGTGCCTGAATGCAGCAACAGTAAGGGAAGCAGAGAGGCCCTTTCTCTTTTTCTCTTAGGAGGGAGACCAAGTTGTACTTCATAGGTACTTAGCTGTTATTTGACCCTGGAAGAAATATAAAGCTAGCTCACTCTCTGTAAGTCCCCCCTGCCAAAAAAAAAAATTCCCCTGCCTTCGATGTTTGATGGGAGTGAGATCCTTCATCTTCTTTCATTCCTCTTGATAGCTGTCATGGCAACATTTGATGGCAAATCACCCATTTGTTGGGCTGGTGTCTCAATAACCAGTGGCCCTTGACCAGGATTTATTTCTCATCTTTTTTTTTTCTCATAATAAGCCTAGCTTTCTCAGCTGTCTTTGATCTAGAATCACCAGTTACCCTGGGCTAACAGCTGTTATCCAAAAGAGGGTCTCAAGCAGAATCAGTGACCGATCACTTGTCATTCTTCTATCACCTCTGGCCTGTCCTCTTCTTATCCTGCTATCTCTGCATTTACTCCATGAAAAGTACAGGGAGGCAGGAGCACCTTGGTGAGGACAGAGTATGGAGATGGATTAAAAAAAAAGAGTAAGAAGGCATTGAGGATGATGAAGACTTCACAGTCTTGCTCAGGGAAGGCTAATTCTTTATTGGTGCTGGGTACAGATGAAGCCCCAAAGGGTCTCCTAAAACAACATCTCTAGGCAGAAAATAAAACTGTATTGTCTGGCCTGAGGAAATCCCTTAGGGGAGATGCAGAGGAGTAGCATGTCATGAACGTTGAAGCCCAGGTTCTAGACACCTGGATTCTAGAGCTCTGACTTTGGCTTGCCAGGTGACTTTAGACAAGTCATTTTCTTTCTTTGGACCTCATAGAGCTAGCACTGGAAAGGGTCTAGTCATTTTACAGATGAGGAAACTGAGGCCCAATGAGGTTAAGCCAAAAGGTCATTCCCATAAACATATTATCTAATTTAAGCCTCATTAACAATCTCTGCAAAGTTAAGTACTATAGGCATTATTGCTTCCCTCTTACAGATGAGGAAACTGAGACTCAGAAGTGGAATGACAGTCTCTCGATTCTTTTCTATGACTTCAAGTTCCAAGTGTCTTTAACAATATGACTTTCTGTAGGTTTACAAACTGAGCATCTTGTAGAGATACTATATGGCAGAGCGGAGATCAATCTGGACTCAGAGCATAAAGACCCAGGTTTGTATCTCACCTCTGACACCTACTAGCTGCCTAATCCTGAGCTACTTACTCAGGAAGCTGAAAGACACTCTGAGCCTGTTTCCTTATCTGTTAAATGGAATAATAATACTTGCAGTACCCACTTCACTGGGTTGACCCGAGTCTCAGATGAAATAATGTCTGCAAGGAATTTGCAAAGTACTGGCAAATATGAGGTTTCAGGTGGTGGTTACTGACATCTTCCTGTACTGCCTTATATGTTCTTCTCTCCAGGGCTCTGAAGTAGAGATAAAGGGAGCTCTTCCATGTAATCACTCACAAGTCAATCACTGGCTGCTGTTGAACATACTCCAGCTGTGTACTCGATGGCAACAGGTGTTTGGTTTCTTAACAAGACAAACCCTTTTTGTCTGCAATCCAAGTATGGCATCTGAGCTAAGCTTGAAATTCGAGTTCTGAACCAACTTGTAAGAACCTTCAGTAGTCAGTTCCTGGAAATTTGCTCAGTGGCCTTGTTAAAATTACCATGACT